ATGTACATGTACATGTATGTATGTATGTACATGTACAGTACCGTATAGCTCCCAGTTTTCAATGGATCCAAATTTTTGTCAAATTTGTCACGTATTTTTGCTTGAAGAAATTTTTATTCCACACGGGTAGGATTGTAATAACAAAATGACAAAAATTTTATTGACGAAAATGAGAAAATTGAGATTTTGACGAAATTTTTGACCAACAAAAATTTGGAGTTATACGGTACATGCATAACTGCGTTCCTCCTTTTCATTCTCTAGCCTCGTCCCAGTACTCCTCTTCAAGCTCACTCAAGGACTACAGTACAACCGTTATCACGAGTGAGGAAGGGTGTGCCTTAGCTAGTCACATGACAACAAAGAAACCAGTCCCTCCTCCTCCTCCTCCCCCTCCCCCTCACTCTACCTATGGGAAACCAATAGACCTCACTGTCACCAGTGCTAGAATTGTAAGCATCAATCACAATAATTATCGACACTTTTAATAAAATACCATAGTACAGGGACTTTGGCCTGATTTTTCACTTAAAAATTTTTTTTTTAATTAAAACTTCATTGGAATCAGCTCAAACTTTTTATACAACAACATGCATATGCATCAAAAAAATTAGAAAAATAAAAATTTCTCTTCTTTTCAATTTTGGCAAATTTTGGATAACACCCATTGTACAGGGACTTTTAGCCGATTTTGGAGCAACTTTTAAAAATTTGTAAAAAAATTCAAATTTAATTGGAATCAGCTCAAACTTTCTACACGACATAAGTACATGTACATGTATATACATCAGAAAAAAAATTTTAAATTGAGATTTTTTTTTTTATTTTGGCAAAATTTTTCTCAAGACAGGACTTAGTGCAGGGACTTTTACTAGATTTCCAAGTAACTTTAAAAATTCATAAAAAACAAAATACACATGTAGCTTTTATCAGAAAATTATATGTACTGTATGTGTATTCTATAGAAATTGTGTATTTCAACAATATTGTGCATCTTAATTAGGTCCCAATATCTCATCCATCTCCCCCCAGTCATCAATGGAAGGAAGTGAATAGAAGAGTATGAAGGGGAGGTCCCTCACGTTATGCATCAGGAACCTACACACAGATTCATGGAGTTATACCTAGATCAGATTTAATGACAATAAAACAAAACAACTGGTGATGATACTAATGATTGATTATACACTGGCATACATGTACAGGCAACTTCTCTAAATTCATGTTCTTGCAAGAAATAATAATAATAATAATAATAATAAATTAATACTTAATGTACATGTACGTACTAGTAGTACCTTTTTATGCAACATAAAAACATGTACATATGTACCAAGAAAAATTATAAAAATGGAGAATTCTTTTCTTTTCATATTTGGCATAATTTGGCCTGAGACCATGTATA